TGTCAAATCAGTTATACCTGAGAGTGCATCTGGGTGACAAAGTAACTTTGAAGACAGAGAGAAAGAGAAAAAATGAGACAATGTCACCTCTGCAGCCACTTCACGTCAGAGTGAGTCAGGGCAACAGTGAGCTAAAAGCAGTTGCAAGTGTGCATACACTTTTTATAACTCTGCGCAGGCAACACTCGCTGCAATATTTCAAATGTGAAATGCAAAGCTGGCCAAGGCACATGGTCAAATGCAAACTGTGCCTAAAACCTTAAGAGTCTACATTGTTTGAGAAGCTAAAAGCCAAGTCCCTGGAAGCAGCTGTACTATATGAGCATGCCTGCAGCCAGTGCCTAAGAAGTTGAACCCTCCATGGACATCAAAACTAAGAGTAACAAAGTAAGGCATAAACAACTTCATCGACATCTTTGTTGATTATTTAGCTAGTTAGATATATTGTTGTTGGAGATAATTGGGCTTTTGTCACTGTCTTGGTTGATATTAGCTTAGCATTGTCACCAGTGTTAGCTAACACTCAGCAACAACTTGGTTGGTAAAGAGAAAGTAAAGTACTGAAAAAGGATCCGTTGGGTACCGGTACCAAATTCCAAGTACTGGTTCAAATGTGAATGGTACCCAACCCTAGTGTGATGTATTTTCTGTATTTTTTTATACTGTTAAGCGATTTCTTTCAAATGGTTACATCTATTTGGATAACAGTTTTCTGTATAGCAAATGCTATAGGCTATTGGCTTAAGACAAACAGTCTTAAGTTTAGGTATCCCCTGTGATATCTGGGCCATTTAGAACATGTCATGGCTCTGGGTAATGACCAAAAGAATGAGGTGGCCAATACAAGTGACCAAAATGAGATTCCTCAGAAGGGAGGCTGGGCTCAGCGTTAGAGATAGGGTAAGGAGCTCGGACATCTGAAGGGAGATCAAAGTAGAGCCACTGCCCCTTCATGTAGAAAGGGGTCAGTTGAGGTGGTTCGGGCATCTGATCAGGATGCCTCCTGGGTCCTCCCAGTTAGAGGTGTTCCGGGAATGTCCAACTGGTAGGAGGCCCCGGGGCAGACCCAGAATATGCTAGAGGGATTACATATTTTGTCTGACCTGGGAACGCCTTGGGGTCCCCCAGAAGGACCTGGAAAGTGTTGCTGGGAAAAGGGACGTCTGGAATACTGCCTGCTCCCACGATCTGGCTTCGGATAAGCGGTTGAAAATGGATGGATGGAGGTGATTTAAGGGGGGACGCCTTCCCCTTAGTTAGCAAAATGACCAAAATGCATCCTCCTTGTAAACCTGCCCTACTTGTCCATCTGGGTCCATCTCCCATGTTAAAAAATTAATGAATCGCCAACCAGGATTAGCCCCACCTGCAGACTTAACTCTACCAAGAAGTACAGTAAAGTAAGTACATATACGTTTTGAGCTTTCTATCCACTGTTTTTTTTTTTTTTTCCCTTTTTTCAGAGGAAACATGTACAAAACTGGAGAGCTTTGAATGGCTGTCAATGTTGTTGTTACACTCATTTCCTAGGTCGTTCACCTCTACAGGAAAACGATGGACTTATGTTGACTTTTTGACCACGCTACTTGCAATGTGAACTCGGGTTAGAACTGAAGTAAATTAGACCCGAGCGTTGATTCAGTTCAAGCCCCGTAACAAGACTGACGGGTCAAATCTATTAAATGCATGACTGCTTCTATGTTGTACTCATTGCATGGGGTTGCACTGCTATTACGTCTGCGTCCTGACGCACTAACACAGATGTAACACCCCGCTCTGAGGTAAGAGAGGTGTATGGAGGCAGGATCTGTAACTCCATTTTGCTTTGAACTTTATATCCCATGGACCCAACATTTAATCAACAGAGGAACAATGAGGGAAAGCACAGTGGGAGCCATGATTTTTCTCTTGTTCTGTTCCAGTAAGCAGATCTGTGCGAGAACTAAATTCTGCTGGATAATAATCCAATAAATGTAGAAACAAGAGGATATTTAATTAAACCCACTGGAGCAGATTCTCCTTCTCTGATGAGGATGTGGCCGTTGTGTGTAGCTGTATTCATATGTACTGAATATATAAAGGTAAATGACTGTGTGTCTTTAACTGTTTTTAGTGTGACACTGAGAAATCAGGCAATTGGTTCTGCTCCACATGACTTACTCTCTTGATGTAAGGTGACTATAAATTACTCTGACAGAGATGAAAATGGAAATTATTATGAACAATAATGATATCGCTGCTCTCTTGTTTTGCATGTCTGTCTGCATCTCTCCATCATATATGGAGGAGAAAATTGTGGTATTTCCTACAATGTTTTATCGTAATGTCTTCTGTTTTGACTCTTGCAATGACTGTCAGAAGGTGTAACCATCACTTTGGTCCAGACTGAAACATTTCAACAACTGTTGGATGGATTTCCATGAAATGTTTCTACAGACATTCATGATCCCCACACAATGAATCCCACTGACTTTGGTGATCCTCTAGCTTTTCCTCAAGGACACCATGGACACCCCCTGGGTAAACTGCTAATCAGCTTTGATGATCCACTGACTTTGACTAACTCTTTGGTTTATGACCAAATACCTGCAAAGTCTAGTGATCTCTCAGTTAGTCCACCACTTTGGTTCCCACTGAAATATCTTAACAACTGTTGGATGGATTGCCATTAAATTTTGTAGAAACATTCATATCCCCCAAAGGATGAATTGTAAATTTTGGTGATCCTCTGACTTTTCATCTAGCACCAACATCGGGCCTAAATGATAAACTGTCTAATACTTTGGTTTATGACAAAATATTTGGCTTAAATATTTAGTTTAAAGCAATGCTGTCCCTAGCCTGGCTGCAGACGCTTAGTCTTTAGATTATGTTTTAACTTTCTTCAGTGTATCTTATTCTGTATGACACATATGATATCCAACTAAAATATTATTTTCAAGAGACCTGAAATGAAATATTGGAAGACAGGCTCATTGTTGGTGCTTGTAGGCTATTAGGGCACCTCAACAGAGAAAACATAAGGCCTTTCATAGATGCCTTAATAAAATCTACATAGCATTAGCAAAAGGCAGCTGGAGTAAGAATGAAAAGTCCTCAGAGAATGGAAAGTAATAAATTAGGAGAATGCTGCTTTATCAATGGCGTCTCACACTTCTGATATCACCATGGTGCTAACTGAAACAAAGCTGACAAATCATGACAAAAAGGCAGATACACAAGTGAGAACAACACTTATTATTTAAGTGAGAAACACATGAGAGGAAAACTGTTGTTTTTTTTTTTGTTGAGAAATCTTGATCTGTCAGATATCGGGGGAAATAAAACAAACAGGGCTGTCAGTGGTTATTTCACACTTCAGGTCTCCACTGAACAATAATTCTCTGTTCCTTAATGGAAATACTGCGAGTGTGAGCACACGCTTTCGATTCTTTGTGTGCATTTGTTTCTTATTTTCTTGGATTCAACACTTCACACCACTTCACCTCGCAAATAAATGACTCTGCCAAAAAGTCAAAGAAAAGAAAAATTACATTTCACTTCCTCAGTAGTTGTGTCTCATATAAAGTTGGATCATACAACAGAGACAGAGAACAACTTCAGACAGTGGTCTCTCTGTAACTTTACAAGCTATGGGAGTAGAACCAGGATGGCCGAGTGGTTAAGGCGTTGGACTTAAGATCCAATGGGCAAATGCCCACGTGGGTTCAAACCTCACTCCTGGTATTATAGGTGAAAATTTATGTGCAAAAACCATCTTCTGAACATTGCTTGTCAAGGATGGTCAAGTGGTTTAGTCATTGGACTTGCCAGGTTTGGACTGGGCTGTAATTTCTCAAAATTCCCCCTCAGTGAATCAGGCAGGTTTTACTCCAATTTCCCAGTGTTTTTTTTTTTTTCTTATAAAGGCAGACCTTATAGTTTGTGTAATGTCATGAATAATATATGGGCTCTGTTTCCATCAACTCATTCTGACTCCTGTCTTTCATTAATGAGCAAAAATGTTATACAATCTTTATGAAATACATAAGGCACACTTTATGGGCTGTGCTGAACATTCAGTAGGAGAAGGCGCAGGTCAGAGATCGTGTCACAAATGTCTGTTACCACAAAAAAATGAGCTTTTATTGACAAAACTAGACTGCTGGTGAGAGCGCAACAGCATCGAACAAACAGAAAGCTCTACTTGTAGTTACTGGAAAAGGCCCCATAGCTGTATAATTGTATGGAGGAGGAGGAGGATCTTGTTCTTCATCCGCCTCAGCAGCGCATGCCCATAACGATGGCCATGAAGTTGCGGAATGTCCCCCCATTCTGCATCATGGTCTTCCCCACTCTTCCCATCAGCTCTCTGCTGCGCATGCCAATCCTGAGACAGGAAAAAGTGCCAAACATGGCAGCAGCGGCCATTTTCACTGCAAACCCCATCATGAAGCCCATCTTGACCCAGTCAAAACAGCTCCTAGTAGAAGAGAGCTTATCACTGGATGTAAAGACTGTCTACTGTCATAAATTACAAAACACTGAAGGTGTAAAACAGGATTCAGTGCTGTCCACAACAAAAGCGAAAGAGCTCCGTGGCTTCTTCAGTGGAAAAACTCATTAAAAGACTAAATATATATTTGAATGTGCTGTATGGTGCGGTGATGGCTGTTTGGAATGCTATAGTGCTTGTATCCTTTCACCCTGACACACCCTTAAACCTAGAGAGACAAAAACATATCTCAGTAACTGCCCCCAGTTGAGGTGAAAAATCCTTGAACCAGAAAAACAATGCAAATCAGGGCCAATTTATTTATACTGAATACTCCCAGGTAGACCACAACCATACTCCCTGAAGGGTCAAAACTCAATGCTGCAGATACTGAGAGGTGATCAGCGACAACATCTGGTGTGTTTTATGGCTGCACATGACTGCTTTTCTAAGGAATACACTGGTAAGCATATCTGCATTGGTTTCTCAGTCATGGCAGGGCTAGGCAGGTTTTTGGGGATCTGACCTGTCGATGATGCCACACATGTCGATCTGCAGGTGGCTGTAGTTTCCCAGCAGTCTTTGCTGCACCATTATCAGGTCCACCGGCTGGTTCTCCACACTGAGGTGACGCATACAGCCCTGAAAGATGTCGAAGGGATTTTTACATTCCTGACTGTCCTCTTCAGCAGGACAACCTGGACAGGAAAGCAAAGAGAGCAGGTAAAGCCAAAAACAGTGTGGAGGCTGACAAGACAGCAGTAATGAAAAAAGACAGAGATGGGCTTTAAGCAGAAGTCAATAGAAAAACAGTGACTATACAGTGACATAAAATAAAAGATTATTGGGCTTAAAGGAGAAGCTAATATAGTGTTTGGGTAACATTCACACAAATGGAAGAAAAATCAGAGCTGAAAGCAACTCACTGTGATAGTTAAAATGCGCTGTGAGTTAAGTAAATGGCGAAAAAAATACTCATTTACTGGAGACGTTAATGTGCATTGTGTACAGTGTTCTATAGGGGTAAGACATATTGCGGTTTACTAAACGTGTTCTACCACATGGTAAGCTGAGCCATGATCTGTGTATTCTTAAGTGGCTGGAATAATGCAAACAGAAACTAAGCCTTGATCAAATGAAAATGGGAATTTTTTTCCTCAGCAGACCATTAAATGTGGAAAAGGAGATAGTGTAAATGTGCGAGTGTGCATGTGTGGGATGATAAAAAGCCTAAGGCAGTCAAAGAACATGTCTGGACTGCAATACTGCTGAGCAAAGAGAGGACAAAAGTGATGGGATTTAAGAGAAGGACACAGTGGGGATGTCAGTGGAGGAGAGGGAAACAGAGGGAAGGAAAAAGACTGGAGAGAAAGAGGCAAGGGAGGGAAACAGGAAGAGAAAAGGAGAGATAAATGATGGAAGGACAGAGTAAAGAGAGAAATGACAGAAGAGACAAGAGAGGAGAAGATAAAGCAGGCTTATAACTTTCATTATAAAACAGCCATGGGTTAAATTTGGCTCACAGCGCTCACAACTTTAGAAGAGAGTACTGACAACACCAACTGTACAGTACAATATTTAATGTCAACAACTTTAAATGAATATTTAAAATATATACAGTACAGGCCAAATGTTTGGACACACCTTCTCATTCAATGCGTTTTCTTTATTTTCATGACTATTTACATTGTAGATTCTCACTGAAGGCATCAAAACTATGAATGAACACATGTGGAGTTATGTACTTAACAAAAAAAGGTGAAATAACTGAAAACATGTTTTATATTCTAGTTTCTTCAAAATAGCCACCCTTTGCTCTGATTACTGCTTTGCACACTCTTGGCATTCTCTCCATGAGCTTCAAGAGGTAGTCACCTGAAATGGTTTTCCAACAGTCTTGAAGGAGTTCCCAGAGGTGTTTAGCACTTGTTGGCCCCTTTGCCTTCACTCTGCGGTCCAGCTCACCCCAAACCATCTCGATTGGGTTCAGGTCCGGTGACTGTGGAGGCCAGGTCATCTGCCGCAGCACTCCATCACTCTCCTTCTTGGTCAAATAGCCCTTACACAGCCTGGAGGTGTGTTTGGGGTCATTGTCCTGTTGAAAAATAAATGATCGTCCAACTAAACGCAAACCGGATGGGATGGCATGTCGCTGCAGGATGCTGTGGTAGCCATGCTGGTTCAGTGTGCCTTCAATTTTGAATAAATCCCCAACAGTGTCACCAGCAAAACACCCCCACACCATCACACCTCCTCCTCCATGCTTCACAGTGGGAACCAGGCATGTGGAATCCATCCGTTCACCTTTTCTGCGTCTCACAAAGACACGGCGGTTGGAACCAAAGATCTCAAATTTGGACTCATCAGACCAAAGCACAGATTTCCACTGGTCTAATGTCCATTCCTTGTGTTTCTTGGCCCAAACAAATCTCTTCTGCTTGTTGCCTCTCCTTAGCAGTGGTTTCCTAGCAGCTATTTGACCATGAAGGCCTGATTTGCGCAGTCTCCTCTTAACAGTTGTTCTAGAGATGGGTCTGCTGCTAGAACTCTGTGTGGCATTCATCTGGTCTCTGATCTGAGCTGCTGTTAACTTGCCATTTCTGAGGCTGGTGACTCGGATGAACTTATCCTCAGAAGCAGAGGTGACTCTTGGTCTTCCTTTCCTGGGTCGGTCCTCATGTGTGCCAGTTTCATTGTAGCGCTTGATGGTTTTTGCGACTCCACTTGGGGACACATTTAAAGTTTTTGCAATTTTCCGGACTGACTGACCTTCATTTCTTAAAGTAATGATGGCCACTCGTTTTTCTTTAGTTAGCTGATTGGTTCTTGCCATAATATGAATTTTAACAGTTGTCCAATAGGGCTGTCGGCTGTGTATTAACCTGACTTCTGCACAACACAACTGATGGTCCCAACCCCATTGATAAAGCAAGAAATTCCACTAATTAACCCTGATAAGGCACACCTGTGAAGTGGAAACCATTTCAGGTGACTACCTCTTGAAGCTCATGGAGAGAATGCCAAGAGTGTGCAAAGCAGTAATCAGAGCAAAGGGTGGCTATTTTGAAGAAACTAGAATATAAAACATGTTTTCAGTTATTTCACCTTTTTTTGTTAAGTACATAACTCCACATGTGTTCATTCATAGTTTTGATGCCTTCAGTGAGAATCTACAACGTAAATAGTCATGAAAATAAAGAAAACGCATTGAATGAGAAGGTGTGTCCAAACTTTTGGCCTGTACTGTATATATATATAGATATATATATATATATATATGTACAAGGCCACAAAATGTCTACATTATTACTGTTTATACTGCAACTGCAGCTTTAAGTATAGTGATAAAAAGTGGCAACTTCTTTGTATATGAAAAGAAAATTTAATTAAATTTAATTTTAACGTACTGTACTGCTGAAAAACAAATTAAAAAAATAAATAACATGAAAACCTTCAGACGGGTTGCATTGCCTTGGCAGACATCAAAAGAAAAAGGAAATGAAGATAAATCCAGACCAAAAAAAAAAAAGAAAAAAAAGAAAGAAGCAGAAATAAAGTAATCCATAAATGACGAATATTAAATTAATCATTCAGGTAAATATGCTTTAAAATGGGAAAAATTAAATTAAAATTTGAAATATAGCTTCATGACCCCAGACCTACTGTAAAATGCTTTTAAGTGGGACATTAATTATGTGTTGCAAAACTACTCTTGAATACTGATCAGTGCTCAACCCAGATGTTCTACTGCTGGAATGTCTACTGAGTACTAATTCAAAGTACTATCAAGGGCAAGTACGGTACAGTGAAGTTTAAGGTATACTATGCAGGATTATTGGTGACTGGAAATACAGCATAAGTTAAAGTAAAAGCCAACCCCTGATTCACATTGATTTGGCGTTTCACCTCGCTATTTTTGCATCATCTGCTGCTTACTGTCTGGCACCTGGCACACACACTTCTAGCGGCTCATAAGCGATGACTGAGAAGGATTACTTCTGTGTGAGTCTATACATTGTTCTTCTGGGAAAATCCTGCAAAGTATATCTTTAAAGAAATGTGCACTGCAACAGCTCAGTGATTGGCACCTTTCACAGTTTGACAGCAGACTCTGGGATTATTTCTTTCACTCTTACCACCAAAGAAGAGTTGACTTCCTATGGTGACAGGATGACTGGCATGAGCGACACCTCCTTCTTCTCCATCTACAACAATGCTCAGATGACCTTGTCTGGAGTTCAACTCAACTGAGTGCCACTGACCGTCATTCAGAGCAGAACCTGGAACAACATTTATATTGATCATAGTTATATCATATGCATTTTCATTTATGTAGCATTTTTTAGTAGTATTACAAAGCTTACAAACAGAATAAAATGTGAGATTTTCAGTGTTATTTCAATGGTAAGAATTTAGCAGTGAGGAAGCTAAGGCTTACATTAGTTATAGGTGAGGCTAAAATATAACTTTCAGGCACTGGTAACAAAAGGTGAAGGGTTAGAAACTGATTTGATTGACATTTAAACTGACCTGCACTGAGCTCCAGCAGTGTCCTGCCAGCTTTATGGATCTGAAGCCAGAGTCTGGCCTCACTCAGGTACAGCCAGGCCACGCCCCCTTCCTGAGGCAGGATAAAGGTGAGCAGAAGCCCCGCCTTGTTCCACGTCCTGAACTGGAACCCCACTGACAAGCCCCCTGACGAGGACGGCATGGCCCCAGGCAACTGGAGGAAGCTCTGGGGGCCTGGGAACGTCACAGCGACGGACACCGACTCAGCACAAGAAAAGGTCACATTGCCCTGAGAGAGAAACATGCAGAGGGGAGAGAGAGGAGGCGGGACAGAAAAAATGATTACTAGAGAGATAAAACAACATAAAACATGAATATTAATCAGTTGCAGAGGGCGTGTCGATGTGACCTCTGTCGCAGTGATCTCATCAGCAAGTCTCCTTGAGAATAAAAGCCATGATGCAAACTGAAAAATCCCAATGTCACCCAGCTCAGAGGCATGGAGGGAGGTGGGTGTGTATGTGAGCAGTGCTATATGGACTTTTTCGTTGCGGTCCATTGTTTTGAGTAGTGGTAATGACACCAGGTTCTTTGCTAAGGCTGCAGTAGTAATATATTATAGTCCCAGCTCTCTGCTGGGAATATCAGCCTGCTATCTTTATAATGCTCAGGAAACACAGATGACATCTAAAAGCCCTTTGTAGAGCTGTTAAAGTGATATATGGACATACATGGTGGAGGATGCAGCATCACTGCAAAATACAAAGTAAAAAGTTAGCTATAAAATCCGCCAAAAGCCATTCACCATCACACATGCACTCCCGAAATCCCTCTCACACACTTACGCACATCATTTAAGGCTTCACTTCACTTTGTTATCATACCTTTAAGAATGGCCAAAAGTTGTCTCTGTATTAAAAAGGACCACAACTAATAGCCTCTATTAGATCTTCAGCCATGCATGTGAATCTCTGAACCTTTTTTACCTTCACTTCTCTGCTCTCTGGTCCTTTACTGTAATGAGAGACTGTTTATTAGAAATGGTTCAGAGCTGCTCTTCACTGAGCTTGATCCACTTATTGTGATTGTACAAACATCTAAAGATCCTATTGAATAAGACAAAGAAGTGTTACTGAAAGTCTACCCATCGCCTACTCTCCTCTGTCCACTCATCACTCACTGTCCTTGTTAAGCCCTCGTCAGCATTGCTAACCAGCTAGCAGCTCATTAACAGCAGCGTCCAGATGATTTCCCAGTGGTGCTCTGCAGATGTTAACATGTATGAAGACACCTGCATGCAGACAAACACAACCTGATCCATTATGCACATGAGGGATTGGTTGGCACCGGCCAAGCTTTGATGGGAACTTGTGTCCTCATGGTGTTTGTTAGCACCTCTTGTAATGAATAAGTCACAAATAACACCAAGCAGAATCTTCTATCAGCTTTGAAGGGCCAGATTTAGCAGATTTTATTCTAGGTGGTGCAGCTCCAGCTATTGATGCTGCATTCTCTCTGAGATATAAAAGCTCAGAGCTCAGAGAGTTTGAGGAGCTGAACATCAAAGCTTTCCCCAAATGATTAACGTGATCTGTCATCATCACATGGGAGGAACAGAGGACAGCTCTATGTGGTGCCACAAAAGATTTGCAGGCTGGTATTTTCCATGGATTCACCCTTTTGAGCTAATTGCTAATTTTTTAACTGATCAATACAGTTATATATCTGAAGATGATGAGTACATGCAGTGTTGATTGTTGTCATGTAGACTTGGACCTTTTTATTCCAAACAAGCATATGAACAAAGTGAGTCTTATTAAATCGTGTTAGCAGACAGTTACCTATTTAGAAACCTAAAGATTACAGTTACCTATTAGCAAACATGACGCAACATTAACATTCATTTGTCATTGGATATTGGCCCCTGGTTTAGTCACCACCAACATCTGCCAGATATTCCATTCTCTTCACTAGCTAGTTACTAACATTGTCTGTGCGCTGTATGGTGCTGGGCAGGTGGTGCACAATTAGTTTATCAGAGCTTTTCCGCTGTCGGCTACAGTTAGAAATTAGGTTTTTGAGAGTGTTGAGTCTGAACAGTAACAGAAACAGTACGCTCCATTAAACAAGTATTTCACTGCTGGAATGATGGCCTTTTAATAAAACTGGGATGTCTATGCAGTAGAATGCCACAAACACTTTTGAAATTGGTGCTACAAGACCAGAGAAAGCAGAGGAAAAGGATGCTTTTGCTTAAGAGGAAGAAAACCTTCAAGTACCAGAAAGTGCTGCATCGCACCAGACCAATAAATGCTCCCGCTGATGGGTGACGTAATGCGAATAGTCCATTTGAAACAGTGGCTGCCGGCTGGCAAGAAACAATCTCGTATTACAGTTAAACAGTAAGCTAAAACATGTTTCTGGAAATGTTTGTGGTGAGAAATAGGCAACTCAATAACAAAATCTTGGTTTATATTTGATCTGTGCTGCTTAGTTTTACTGCTTAATCTCAGGTTTTTGGCCTTCGTTTTTACTATGCAGGAAACAGTATGGTGCCCACTTCCTGTTCACAAACTCTCGCTATTACAGCTAAACAAGGCCCTAATATATGCTTCTAAAAACACTGTTAGAGAAATAGGCCATACAGTGACACAATCTTGATATATATTCGATCAGCACTGCTCAGTTTTACCATCTGATTGGATTGCGGTCCGGGCTTAAGAGAGAGAGAGAGAGAGGAGCTGGTCTGTCTCTTGATCTGCTTCTATGCTCTATACTATACTTCTACTTTGTGTCCGTGGTGGCAGCATGGGTTGACAATACAAACATACGGAAGTGCAACTTGTAGTTCAAGTAACAGCCTGAGAGCCAGCGAGACTTTCATGGGGGGGCGGAGAGGGATATCTTGGCACTGGTAAGACAGTTCAAATACACATACTACCCAGATTGTTTTGATACAAGACAGTTGAAAATCAGCGAAGTATCCCTTTAAACCAAAACACTGAGCTAAAAGACAGCTAAAAAGCTCAACAGAGCTGCAGAGTTGGCTGATAATTCTCTGTGATTTTGCTACTTACGGTAAGCCATTTCACAGTACACATAGTAATTTAATTAGATAAAACTATCACTCTGTTAAAGGGCAACTCTGTTATTTTATAATTATTTTAATTAGTTTTCTTTATCAGTCAGCTTTGGAGCATAGTTTTGAATTAGTGTTCCTCATGTATTCAAATCGAAAAATTCAAAATTTGGTCTCAGTATGCATGTTTTAGTTTCAAAATGCTATTTTCCCCAAGCCCTTCTGAAGACTTTTCCCCATGTGACATGACGAAGGTTTCTGTACGATGTTGTAATGTTGCTACATACAAATCCACGTACTGCTGTGGACGCCACAGTAGTTCGATTCTGAAAAGTCACACAATAACACAACAGAGTCTGGTGGCTCTATAAAGGGCACTATAATGGCTTCAGTTCCTTGTCACAAAGGGCTGCCTTATGGCAAAGTGAGGCACTAAAATAATTTGCATATAGCATACGCTTATACAGATACCAATATTTTGGTGGTCAGTTTTCAGGAGGCCAAAATACATTTTGCAGCTGCCCCAGTCCACAGCCACCAGACTCCTTTTACAGAAACAGTAATTACTTCTCAGAATACAAGGACTTGCTGGTCCACCGCTGCCTCTGATTGGTTAGTTAGTGTGTGTTACTGTGAAACTTTCAGAACCGAACTATCGCTGGGTCCACAACAACAGGCAACATTGCTTAGCTTCTGTGTCCTGGTACTCCTGTCTGCATCAAACTGGTAGTATGCTGAACACTATCTACTGTAGGTAATACAGACTGTGGATCTATTAACGTGATTATACAGTATAAATGCAGTATTACACTGAATCTCAATGTGTCTTCACCTGGTTAAAAAAGGTTTAATAATAATGAAATAGCACCATCTTCCTCCTCCAAGATTAAATCTTCCAAGCTAACACTTACCCGATTCAGTATGCTTACACTGTCAACAAACAGCATGTGTGGTGGGTGAGGGAGAGGAGAGCATCAGTGCTGTAACCTACATTAGTGCTTTTTGCAAATGGCTGTGTGGGACTTTCCATTTAAAAAACATGGGAAAGAAAGTGGATGGACTCAACCTTTGAGCAAAATGAATCAAGTTAGCATTACCGTGTAGCTACCAGCAGGCTAAATTCACAACACAGTTAACTTTTGAAAAGTTTGACTACAGTATACAAATAGATTCTTGAAACAGCCTGTTGTTTTTATTTTGTCAGAACAAAGTCAGCAAAGAGGAACTGGGTGTGTTTAGCTAGTTACCACCACGGTAAAATGTACGTACCTCAACAGTAACTTGGTGGTCTTTGCGTTTAGCTAATTCTATCAGGTTGAGGCCATTGTACAGCAGGTTTTCCAGGCAGCCATGAAAGTTCCTCTTGGTGACAAGGTCCTGGACTGCCCCTACACTCAGCTGTATGGAGACAAAACCACACAAAAAATAGCAAAAATGAAATATACTTGGTTTTATATACACATAAAGCATGTTTATGTAGGTGTGTTTCTGTGCGTTCCCTCCCACCTGCTCGATGTCCCAGTGGCTGAACTCTGCAGGGATTTGAACCCTCTCTGTGTGTTTGTCCACAGTGAGGTTGAGGTGAGAGCCACGTCGCTCCACTGCTAAATGGTGCCATTGCTGATCGTCTAACAGGCTGCCGAGGGACGTGAGACGCCGGGGTTCAGAGGTTGAAGTCCCACCTGAAAGAGGTGATGAGGAGGAGAAGTAGGAGGAAATGACAGAGCAGATAGGAAGTAGAATGAGGAGTGATGGAGAAGTAGCAAGAGGTAAGAGCAGGTGAAGAGGAAGAAGGAGGCGACAAAGTCAAGGAGGCCAAAGAGGAAAGGGAGGATGAGGGTTTGACAGAGGGGGGACATAAGAAGAAGATCAGGGGAAAGTCAGATGACAAGAATGACAAGGGGTGTAAAGCAGGAGTAGAAAAAAGGAGGAGGAATAGAGAGGATGAAGGTGACGTGGAGGGAAAGTGTCAAGCAAAAGGAGAAAGATGAAGAGGGTATAAAGAGAGGAGAGAAGAGAAAACGGGATGGAAAAGGATGGAAAAAAGGAAGGGGAGGCAGGAGAGGATAAAGCAGACAAGACACAAATGTTATTGGACACATGCTGTAAAACACACCACCGCTGTTTAATTTGCAAAGTCTGAATCCAGCATTAGAAAAGGAAGAAAAAAAATCATGCATGAAATGAGACAAGATAAAATGAAACTTCACTTGTTTTCTTTAAGTTCTTTGACTTGTGAGTGTGTGTGTGTGTTTTTTTTTTCAGTGTATGAAGTCTGTTATTATGGTACCTTAATAAGCAGGTTTGCTTCTGTTAAGCAGCTAATCTGTTTTCTTTTCAGATATGTTGTTTTCTGCTTTTTCTATCTATAGTTATCTGATCTGACAGTCTGTTGTTTGTTATCTGACCCGCACGTCTGCTTCTTTCTAACAATCTGACCTGGTGTCAAGGGAACGCGAGCCAAATGACAGCTACAACACAGCAGCCTCCGCATTGTGTCTAAATATTTCACTTCTCCCAGGATCCCACAGAGAGGAGCACACCGAGGTCACCCTCTCTCATCTCATTAGGGACTACAGGATATCTGCATACATGCACCCAGAGCTGAAGCCAAATATGCGACAATGCCGAGAAACTGCGAAGGAAACGTAGCGAGAGATAATTAATGATAGATGAGCACCAGCAGGTCGAAATTTGGGGATTCGTTCACCCAAAGTCCTGCGAGAGAAACTTTGTATGTCTGCTGAGAGAAGGAGCCGAATACAGTCAGCCATTAAAAATGTATTAGATATTCTTTGGGGAGAGACAATTCCAACTTCAAAGAGAGAAACAGAGACAGTTCAGAAGATGATGGACAAATTTATTTTTGATATTTCAGCCCATTTTATGTGAGGGTTTATTTGTCTGCAGCTTGGATGACAAATAACTTCATCCAGAGAGAGAGAGTTATGGAGCCCATAATATAGGGGACATCTGTCCTGTCAAAACATTTATTGTGAGGAGTTATTTGAGGGAAAGAGAGAGAGCGAGACAGTGAGATCAATATGAGAGACTTAAAAGCAAATCAGATGTACTAAATGACACTGATTAATGGGACAGTTATTGTGTTGTTGGAGGTGGAGAAGAGATGAAGAGGATCTTGTGATTGAGGGTTTCATTGAATGGATGATTTGATTGCTGTGTGAGTGACTGAGAAGAGAAAGCAGCAATCGATATGAGAGATCAGAAGGCGAACAAAGAGAGAATCCCTCCACTGATATTCATATTTAGAATCAGTAGGTGGTTTAAAAGGGGACGAGAGGGAATGCCATCCCACTTGTTAGCAAAATTATCTGTCATCCATCTCCATCCCTTGGATCTGGACCCAGACATTGTCCTATCTAGACCATGGACGTTGGAACTATTATCTGAGGGGGGGGCGGGATTTTTGTTGGGGGGGGCGGGGGAAGCACGCACACTTATCAATGATTAAGGATTTGATTTGAAGTTATTTTATAATAACATGCAGTTATAAGAGAACTAGAATGGATGAACACGGCATCTTTACTGTTAAGAAAATGAAACTTTGATAACTAAATCAAGCCATTTAAGGAACATAGCATTATTTGTAACCTTGAATGAAAAAAAATGAAAAGTCTGCGCTCCTGACTCAGGGCTTGCATGCATTTCCAAAAGTGGACCTTCTCTCAGTTGACCTACTGATGAAGATTTTAAGCAGGGTTGAGACATGGCTTTCATCCATAAGGTCACTGTGAGCGTTCATAATGGCCAAATGTGTTAGTCTCTCCTGCGTCATGGTGTTTCACAGCCAGGTTTTCAGCCTGCACAAGGCTGAGAAAGAGCGCTTGGATGCCGTGACAGATATGGGCAGGGCCAGACAGAGCTTAATGAGCTTCTCCACCTCCGACAGCATGGAGTGGGTTTGGGGCTGCAAGGTTTGCAGGATGGACACAACATCCTGGATGCCAAGGCTACTGTATGTAGTCAGGCAGGCTGCATATCACATCAAAAGCATATATCTATGCATTAATGATATGAAAGAGATAAATGTAAGTCAGACAAATTGAGTTTAAATTCAGATTCTTTATTTTTTTTAAAGCACCCCTAGTTCCGACGTCTATGATCTAGACTCAAACCTATAACCAATAAACTACTGAGAATTATGACATTTCTCTAGAGTATTTCTATTTAAGCGATGCATTGTGTGACATTCGTACTGGTTTAGAAGACCACAGACCAATTCCATGTGTTCAATCATCTCACGTGATGCTACTTAGCCAATCAAATCTGTTCATCAAGATAAGCACTCCAACTCCAGTGAGGCAGATACACACAGGAGAGGCGAGAGAGAGACTATAGTCAGAGAAACAAAAGAGTAAGAGAAAAGTTATTTTACATGTCGTGTTCTAAATAGAGAAAAGAAGACAGGGAAAACAAAGTTCTTAATCAAGAATGGACAGACTTTACATGGCCATTCTTCCCACGGGGCATCTTTTTCGATTTTCGGTAACACTTTACTTGAAGGTATCTACATAAGGGTGACGTGACACTGCCATGAACCTGTCATGAACATTATGTACATGTCATAAACGTTTATGACTGCTGTCATTAAGTGTCATTTGGTTTTTGTAATGACAAGTTGACATAATTTGGGTTGTCTTGATTATGACAAGTTGACATTAATCAAAGTGACATTACTAGAAGTTGTAATGTCACTTTGACATTACTAGAAGTTGTCTTTGTCATGACAAGTTGACATTAAATTTGTTTGGGATGTCCTTATTATGACAACTTGACATTAACCAGGATGACATTACCAGAAGATGTCTTTATGTTAATGTCAAGTTGTCATTATAAGGACATCCCAGAACATTCCAAACAAATTTAATATCAACTTGTCATGACAAAGCCAACTTCTGGTAATGTCACTTTAATTAATGTCAACTTGTCATAATCAAGACAACCCAAACAATGTCAACTTGTCATTACAAAAAACAAATGACACTTAATGACAGCAGTCATAAACGTTTATGACATGTACATGACAGTGTCATGTCATAGTTATGACAGTGTCATGTCACCCTTAAATATATACCTTCGAGTAAAGTGTTACTCTATTTTCTCATAGTATTGTCTCTTTGGCAGTGGAGACGAAGGACTTTGAGGTCGTCATCACTGACCTTTGTTACAGTAAATACACTTTGTTACTGAGTGTGTTTGTTTAATTCTGCACTGAATAACAGAATTAAGAAATGAAATACAGCAAGCTTGTAGAGCTGATAAAATGCTTTATTACGTATCCCTCAGGTTTTCTCTATGTAACTGGCTATCTTGCACATTTCAGCAGGGGGCAGCGGCTGAAGCCTAACCCAGCTCATATTTCGTTATGTGGTATAAATAATACGTGCACTTTCTTGTAAAGGTTAGTTTACTATGTGTTTTTTCAGCTACAGAGCACAAAGTAACAACTGCTTGGCCAAATGCCGAAACTCGCTTGTCTACTTCAATCGTTTTCTGTATAATTATATTTTTCAACAGCTCAGATTTGGTGGTGTAAGAAAACTGACATGTCATTATTGTAACAAACACTCAAAAAGCAGTATCATTATTTTTCATAATTTTGCATTTAGAATAAAACACGCTTCACTAAACATTTCTGTTTCACTCTACTCTAATTATTCACTGTTCCCTCTAATATTAAGATGTCAATTTTTGATACTTTTGACACAGGCCATAGTTTTGACACAGATTTGATAAAGCTGTTGAAATTACTTTGTGACAAAATGGTCCAATTAAAGTAATAAATGACTTAACTCACAATGCCAGACTATATCTCATAATTAGCTTTTTTGCTACACACTGGACTAATCAGGAAAACGTGTGATAATGATGTGACTTGCTGCCTAAACTAAGTTAAGCTAGGTGGTACAGATATAAAATGAAGCATAATTCTGCAGCTGCATCATTTATTTCTCACCTCAAATGAAGCATATTCAAGAACTGGATATCATCACTTAGAAATTTAACAGTTTTGCAAACAGTGCAGAGACGCATTTGGCCAACTACAAAATTGCATATCTCAAGGAAATTCAACTGATGTCAGAAAAAAAGCTTTAAGTTACCTTTTTCTGATATTAACTTTCTTTATCATGATTAGGACCTGTTTTTATTAACAAAATGTGATGAGCAATACAGTAAACTGTTGATAGAGCTGTTAAGAGGTCAGCACAGACTGCAGTTGCATTGCTTCATTGTACAGGAAGGTGACAGGCAAGCAAACATGCTCAGAAAAATCTCTGGACAAACTCTACAGACGATACCACAGTCTGTGCTGAAGTCTATATTTCCATATTACTCTACACGTCCTCAAGACAGAAACACCTCATTGTATCTTGTCTGCTATTCTATTACTGCTGCTCTAAATCAAACTATGGGAAAAGACAGTGACAGCTCTTATCACAAAACAGGCTGATAAAATCATTTCAGAAACCGACTCTCGTAAAGTACCACGTCTGTCACATATTAAGCTCAAATCCGAAGCTCTGTAATGATCCACGAGAGAGAGGAGTTTGTTTGGAGCCATTCTGCTGCCTCAGTGTTTCTTATTTATATATATACAGTATATGTAATTTCTTTTACTGAGTGAGAAAGGTGAAGTGACACAGCTATTGAGATAACATCATCCACTTTTCTATTGTTTGAATGTAGAGAGTCAATTTTGCATCATGACCCAAAGTGCAGAAACAAGATAACAAAATGATGACAGTCCAATTCAGAGCAGTTATGGTGTCTTTTTCTGTGTCAATCATAAGAGGTGATCCAGCAAAATCATTATGTACGTCATAAAAGTAAAGTGTGGAGTGGGGATAAGTGGGAGATATTGACTTGGATGATGTAAACTGGCATAACATTGAAGGGTTCGTACCACTACACTGTATTTACCTGCATATTGTTCCACTGAAAAGCCAAAAATGTCACAATCTGCATCAGTTAAAATAGTGACAACAGCCAAGTATTTTTCCCAGAGGTTTTAACACAGCATTGTTTAATCAGTATTTTAAATTGGTACTTCAAAATGTGGAGGTAATTTGATATGTGATGCAGGTTTATCTACGAACGCAGAGTCCGCCGATTATGATTACCCTGCAGTGCAGCGAAGTTGGTGGCTTAAACTTATGAGGTAACCACTGTTTCATCATGTGGAAAGGAGGCAATCAGCAAACATAGTTTTCTTGAAGGACTGAAGCTTTTTATGCAGGCAACTGTGTTCAAAATGGGCTAATTTCAGTCATACAAAACACATATTATGATCTGAGCAGAAGTGCCTAGCTGCCTCCTGATGTCTTCACTAAATCTATACGCCAACTTTTCCTTGAAATGAATCTTTTAATGTCAATAAAGTTATAACACGAGCATCAATACAAGGGCGGCACGGTGGTGTGGTGGTTAGCACTGTTGCCTCACAGCAAGAGGGTTCCTGGTTCGATCCAAGGAAGGAGCCCTTCTGTGCGGAGTTTGCGTGTTCTCCCTGCATCAGCATGGGTTCTCACCGGGTACTTCGGCTTCCTCCCACAGTCCAAAGACATGCAGGTTAACTGGTGACTCTAAATTGTTTGTAGGTGTGAATGTGAGCGTGAATGGTTGTCTGTCTCTATGTGTCAGCCCTGTGATAGTCTGGTGACCTGTCCAGGGTGTACTCGCCTCTCGCCCAATGTCAGCTGGGATAGGCTCCAGCCCTCGCACAACCCTCAAGAGGATAAGCGGTTATGAAAATGGATGGATGGATGGCATCAATACAAAGCTTTAGCCGCTCTACATTATCAAAGTTTACCTCTAACCTGCAGTATCAAGTATAATTTTGCTACTTCTTGTTCTGTTCTGAAATTTGTTCAACAAAATCAGGTCAGGTTTAAGAGTTATGGTACACAAGTCACAAAAACAAAAAAACTCATAAAGCTGAGTACAGGCAGAAAATGCAACCAAAATATTCTGCATGTAGGGGAAAAAAACATGCTTTCATAAGAATAGTAGTGTTTGTAATGTGAATTATCTGAAGGCAGATAAATCTGCCGTCTGGTTTCTAACTATCAGTGTCTTGTTTTCGCTGTTATCCAGACAGACAGAGCTGCCGCTTCTGTGAAGGGCTGTTACTCAGTGTTGCCTCATAAAGCCAACTGCAACTACTCCAGGGGGTCAGACCTGGAGGTGCTAGTGTTAATAGGGCAGAGCGGACCATGCATGAGCTCAGGGTCAATTCACACAGCAGATGACCTAAATTATACAATCTGTAACCTAAAAAACTCACGCAGGGAGAGAAATAGAGAGAAAGAAGGAGAAATAAAGTGGGAAATAGGAGACAGAAAGTTGAAGGACACTGAACTAAAAAAGGCTTATGGTCACTTCTGAAAAACAGTTTGCACAGTTACTGAAAACTAGTAAGTAGTTACAGTTGTTTCTTTCAAAGGTAATTGAATTACCAATTACTGCATGTGAAAGTAATTAATTACTTGGAAACGTAACTTTTGTGGTTCTTTTGAATATGTGCATAAGTTCTCTTTAAGGTGCACATAACAGTGTGCAGTGTGGAACAGTGTGCTACAAGACAACTGTCAAATGTTTCTTTGATCGTACCCATTATCACTACAATGGAAAGTAATAGAGGAAAAACAAAACATGACATGTTTTAATAGGCCTATTTATTGCAGCCTTGACAGGCCTTCAAATCAAGCAACAGAAGTCAGATTTTAACACTCTTGGTAGAGCGAAGTAAAGTAACCACTGTTTCTCAGACGTCTGACAGTTCTCTCTTCTCACAATAGGCTTAATGAAATAAAAGCGATAAAAGCTTCTCACACACTGAGGTTTATTCTTTGTAACCTTAGCAGTAATTCAAATCCTTCACATAGACTACACCTCACCACTGTAGGAGGGAAAAATAATGTCCACATACCAGGAGAACAAGTTCAAGATGCCTAAGTGTGAGCCATTGTGTGCAGCAACAATTTAACGCTGGGTGATTAATTCACGCCATTTATTGCGCTGCCGTCAGGTGACTAGTGATGAAGTTGTCGATCGCCGGGTCCCGCGGTGTTCTGCATAATGTTAAGTTATAAATAACTTACGGAAACATTGCGTGCAATAGTCAACCTTCCACATTTTCTTCCTCTGCCTCTCTCTCCTCACTACTATGGGTGGAAAAAAAAAAAAATCCAGGGACAGGCTGCGTTTGTCTGCTATGATCAAGACAAAAGTAACGAGTAAGGAGTCCATTTAAATTTAGCTCATTGTAATTACGTTATTTATTTGAAAACTAATTAGATACATTTGTAGTTACTGCCCAAAGTATTGGAATTACAGCAACACTACACAAAAGACAGAGACACGTAACAGAGAAAGGAGGAAAGGAGAGATATTTATGTGTGTGTGTGTGTGTGTGTGTGTGTGTGTGTGTGTGTGTGTGTGTCTCAGAGACAGAGAGAAAAAGAAAGAAGACACAAAAAGGCAAGTGGTCTCTTCTGATGTGGAAAAAATGTCACAATAGGAGATCTGTGGAGACAAACCAGGACAAACTACAGTAATTACAACAGAAGAGAAGAAAACAGAAGCAAAGAGCCATGTAACAAACACAGGGGAGAAGAGAGGGACAGAAATATAAGAAAACAGAGGAGGAACAAGAGAGACTGTTTGCTGTTTTAGTGTTCGTCTGTGCTGGCAGGAGCAAAACTCCTCTCCAATCTCTCTTCCATCTTTTCAATGGATGGGTTTAATTTGCTCTCACTGAACTGAAGTCGCTCTTTACAGTGACACAGACTTTCTTTAAGATGACACAGTCTTTAAGATGGAACTGTTCTTTAAGGTGCCACAGGATCTGTTTTAAGGGGAACAGTTTTCACTTAAATCACAGGTGTGTTAAGTGTTACAATGAAAGTGTTTTTCCTGAAGGTGACACAGTCTGTCAAGGTGATCCACTTGTAACGGTGATACAGACACTCCTAAGATGTCTCTGTTGAACAGGTGATTCTTTACATGCACAAAGTCTTTAAGGGCTCTTGATATCATGATTTCCTTTAAGGATGTGCCGTCCTCTTTTCTTGAGGTGAGGTTATTTCACAGGTTTGCATTCTGAGAGAGGAGATGGAGCAGAACGAGAAGAGGCGGAGGGCAGCGTGTGCAGACGGATGAAAGGCAGGATAGACATATGAGAGGGGAATAGATGACGGAAGATAAGGATGCTTTGATAAAGAGCATTTGTGAGAAATATATATCAGTGGGTATGACAGAAGGGAAGAGTAATAGAGGGAATGGGAGAAATGATTTTGGGGAGATGTGAAATGAGGAGAGGGCAAAAGAGGGATGAAATGATGGATGGATGGATGGATGGATGGATGGAGAAAGAATTTCAGCAGCCAGATGGGGTTCCTGATCAGAGGTGAGCCATATGGTGATGATTCAGCATGGCAGCCTGACAACCACTGGTTTAACCCTGTTTACACACACACACACACACACACACACACACACACACACACACACACACACACACACACACACACACCTCCTTCTGTACAGACTGTAAGCCATGCATCAAGTCTTGCACAGTTCGGCCTGAACACATGCTACAGTGAACGGGAACCATCCATCATGGCAGCAACTAGACAGAGACGCAGCAGCAGAGTGAGAGCCAAAATTTAAACCAATCAGGCCGCAGTGTGTGTGTCGTCCATTTCACCCAACCACAACCAATCTAAAGTGATCTCAGAGGGGTTTATATTGTCCTCAACCTTATACAGATGTTCTGTTCCAATACGTCCACAAAGTGAGTCATAAATTACATGTCAAGGAACTAAATGTGTTCTGGCTGATCAAACTGTTTCAGCTGGAGGGTTTTTTTTTCTCACTGAAACTGAAAATCAGAAACAAAAGGTCAAGTCAAGACACAGGACCCCAAATTGTTCATGGGCAGCCCCCTCACTCTGCCATCCTCCATTTAATCCATGTATAGGTCCTGTTTGTGCATGTGTGTGTATTTCAAATCTGTGCGTATGAGAACAGAGTGAATTTCCCCTCAGGAAAAATCTTGTTGGCATATGTATCAGGAAATATCAGCCATTGTAAGGAATTATCTTCTCAATTTTTTCCAGCAACCCAAAAATCAAGGAACAAAGACATTTCAACTTACAATTCAAAGGTATTTTTCTTTTTAATTTAGAGATTAAAATGTAAAAGTGCCAGTACTGCATACCAGTGAGCACCGGCTCACTTTAATTTTCATATTTTCCTTCTACTGTAATGTATCAGTATGTATGAGCAGACGTCAGTGCCTAACAGTATTTGTCAGTGGATTTGAGTATGCATGTGGTGTGTTGTACCTTGTCTGAGCAGCAGCAGCAGCTTTCCTCTCTCTAACTCCAGACTGAGGCCCAGTCCTCCCTCTCCCTCTGCGTGCAGCAGTGTCCCAGAATTCCTCAGGGTTTTAAACTTCAGAGTGACAACGTCGTTGGATGGCTGCCTCGGCCCGGGACTCAGCCTGTACACCAGACTGCTGCTGCCGCCGTCGAAACTCACAACATCAGAGGCTAGAAGGCAAAACAGAAACAAAAGAAACATATAAAACAGAAACTTCACCACAACAACAGGTTAACAATGAGTATATCTCCCTTCATCAGATAACATCTGAGTGATTTCATTTGCTTTATATTTACATTGTCTGTCAGTGTGGAGGAACATACTGTCGTCTGTTCCAAAAGTCCTTAAATAACGTTCCCACGACTCTACAAAAAACACTGACTCATACATCTGGACAGAATTTCAGTCTGCCGCTGTGGTATTGTTGGTTGCAGCAGGAGACTGAACCTCCGTGCTAAAAAATGAAGCCAATGCAAAAGTGCCAAAAACTGCAGTTCCTTGAATGGCTAAGTTATGCATAATGAGGGTGTGGTTGCTTTGAGTGACAAATGGGCACCTTTTGTTGACAGGTCGCTACCATGGCAATTGTTTAGGTTACATAATCATGGCGGATCTCTAAATTCACAGAAGATAACCATAGTTGGAGCTATAACTGTTTTCACTTCAAAGTGTTGTAACAGATTGGTTGCCTAAAAATATTTCGCTCGTAAGTTTTGCTCGTACCAAAAGACCCTTCAAGGAGTCAGACATTCAGTTTTTTATGGTAAGTACATGTTGGTTTATTGCTATGTTTGGTGTTTTGCTAGCAAAAATTAGCATTAGCATTGGCATTATCACAGTTAACCATAGACTGTAAATGCATATTGTGCACTTTGCTAACCAGGCTAGCAGCTAGCGTTAGGGTTAGGTCCACCCTCTCGTCCAAATACGATCACTTTTCATTATTTCTGGCTCAAAAAAATCTGAGATGGTGAGGGTCAAAATGCCAAACTCGAGGCTTCAAAACAGGTGTCAGCAAACCAATGGGTGAAGTCAAAATGGCTATGATCATTATTTTAACACTATGGACTAGTCTATGGACTGAGACTGTAATCTGCTTCTCACCTTTCATCAGCAAATTTCATCTAAGGGTTTCACTTACTCACCAGGGGTTTGGGCTGAGGTGAGGTGAGGTGAACAGTGTGTGTTGAGCGTAGGAGGTGTGTAGGCTATAAAGAATGGACTGCAAATACTAAACTGCTAAAAAAAAAAGAAGCAGAGGCCGAGTTCAGCATCAATTTCCTTTTCAGCAGTACAACTAATTCCTCTGACTGAACGTTTTTTAATGAACTTGGCGACTCTTTGACTCCCCAACGCCAGGACTCGCACACAATCACACAACCACTTCGCTTGCAGTAATGCTCTTATTGGATTGTACAGTGTATTTCCTGCTGATTAGAGCAGCAAGATGAGGCTCCAGAGCACTGAGTCATCCTCAGTGTATTAAGCTGAAAAATGACTTTAACTCCACTCTACTACTCTATATAGTAACAAGCCATTTAGTCCTAGATGACATTTCATCCTAGAACATTAATATCTGACTATAATTATGCCAAGAATAGATTGGTGCTTGTTTATGGCTCATAACTCGGGCACTTGGGACACTTCTGCTTATAGCCAGTGCAGCAATATGCCCAATACTCTGTCATATGTCAGGGAAACATCATGTGGCAGGTACATTAATTGGGTTTGCCTTTACTTTGGCCCCAGATTTGATTAAGTGTGAACACCTGTGACTGTTAGAGAAACTTGGATGTCTTGAATCTGCCAAGACACATTATGAAATGTTTTGTTTTGTTGCCTCAACAACAGACTAATACCCACAATACATTTTTCACACTGCGGTAAACTGTTTGCTGCTAACAGCTATATATCACCTCCCTTCAGTATATTACATTTGTTTTTCTCAGGAGGATTTCACTGTGCATGCTACATTAGTTTACTGCCAGGAAAACCACAAGACTCCTCCGCCAACCGTCACGCTGGCTGATAAACATATTACCCGAATATATATCCACTGTGTCCTTAAATAACTGGAGAATATTTCCAAACTACTATGGGCTATTTATCAAAATCCATCTTTTAAATGTTTTTCATAATCCATCTTCTTCCAGAGGGGACAGCGGCAAAGACAGTTTTAAGGGACACAAAACAGTTTTATCATAAATCATCTTTCCACTTGGTGAACTAATGTGATGAATTAGTGCCAGGAGGTTCCAATCTTATCTTGCCTCTATGTTACCTCCAAATGTTCCAGGAATTTAGAGCTTTCAAGTTTTCAAGTTTGGATGTTGCTCACTTTTCTGACCACATGAGTGAAGATAACACGGAGGGTGTTTTCACATATAGTCCTTTTTAAACAAATCCAACTCAGTCCTCTGAAGGTGCACCAAAAAGTGGACCAACATTGTCAGTTCATTTGAAAAAGGACTCAGTTCTCTTTCTGGTCCACTTCAGCTCTGATGGGACCTCGGTCCTCTTTCTGTTCACACTATAGCCTACATACATAGTTTTGTCTTTACTTTGACGTGGCACTGCAGTGTGGTTATGAAGCCTCTCACTTTCAGATGAACTTAAAACTGGAGGAGAACATTAGATGTTTCTGTGTGCTGTAGACTGTTGCCATTTGATGTATTCTATATTCCACACCTGGAGACGTGCAGTATCTTCCGTGGACCACACTACTCCTAAAGCAAACCGAACTCCCAAAATATTGATCTGAAGGCTACATACGGCTGATAACTTATGAAATCAAGATGTGACTTTACTTACTGCGATAATGGCGACAATGCTATGTGTTGCGTGTATTAATTTTGTGATAAATAATCAAAATATACAGACATTCATGGTCCCTGAGGATGAAGCCAACTGACTTTGGTGATCCCATGACTTTTACTTTGGCACCTCCATGAAATTGACATTTGTTTGAGTGAAATGTCTTGACAACTATTGTACTGATTCCCATAAAACTTGATTCTCTCATTAATGTTCCCCTCTGGATAAAGTGAATTTCAATTTGTCATAAGTTTTGCTTTGTGACCAAAACCATCAGCCTGACCTGTACTTTGTGCTTAGCGATAACTAGCAAATGTATGGAAATTGTCATAGCGTATAGGGATGCACTAATCCGATATGTGGATCGAATATCTTCCCTGATATCATCAAAATAGATGGATCTGGTATTGGAAAATGCAACCTATACCTGAGGCGATCCTTTCCCTTTAAATCTATTGCGACGTGAGCTACATCATACGTCATGGAGCAAAGGAGAGAATGTGCTGTGTGGAGGTATTTCACACTATTTCAACTGCTGTTGCACAATTGTTTATTTTTGTTAAAAAATAAATAGTTCATCATTGCATTATCTGTTTCATCTTGTTCCATTTTATCTTAGGAAAGAACTGTGTAGTCATCAATGCCTGATGCCTCTAGTCTTTTCTGTTCTACATGTAAAGGTATAGCTTTTTAGGTCAACCATGGTATCGGATCGGTATCGGATATCGGCTGATATTCAAAGCCACAGCACCTGGATCGGTATCTAAACTGAAAAAGCTGGATCGGTGCATCTCTAATCGCAAGCATGTTAGCATGGTAACATTAGCATTTAGCTAAATGCAGCACTATGCGCCACAGAGCTGCTACCATGGCTGTGGACTCTTTTTCTTGTTAGAGGAGCAAAAGTAATCACACTGACAGACTTTTAGTTTATTTACAGTGTGATAAACATTTAAATCAGTACTGGGAAAATGCTGAAAAAGGGAAGATGACCTGACTTGTAAGATAATGTTTCATGACAGAAGAAACTTTTTAAAACCTGTTTTGTGTATTAGTACAAATGAAGTTGCTGTTCAATATATTTCACGTTTTAAAGGAATCAGTGTTAAAAACAAACATGTTCTTTTTATTTTCAAAGCTCCCAGTCTGACTACAGCCTGACTGCAGATAAAAGGAGGAGCCAGAAATAATAGAGACACTAACCGCTGCAGATAGAATATGAGACACAGACAGTCCATATGGAAATCATGTTTGCACATTAATATTTACTGTTTGATAAATGTATTTGGGCATATATGTAAATGTGTGTTTTGATATTCATGAATGTTTTTTTCTAATATCCAAACAAACAGCAGTGAGGACAGAAATCAGGGCAGAGACACCGCAGGGAATAAAGCTGAGAGGACAAAAAATTACAAACACCTGCCTCTTCAACCGAGTCCTGAAGAGGATAAAGAAGATGACGAAGAGTCATAATCACTGAGGATTTAAAGCATGTGAAGTCATGCTCATCCTAAACCTTTAGCAGATTTAAACATTTAGAAAGTAAATCTACAACATGTTTTTAAGGCGATAGTAAGAAGGGCAGTGATACTGATGTTTGTTATTTTTTAAATGAGAATCCATTAATCTTATGACACAATCATTGGCTCAAATACAAAAACTGTGAACGTGCCATGGAGCTATTACTAATAAGAGGGACTGTGTAACCCTAAAAAAACTGTTTTTGTGGGATGTGTGTTTAGTTCATTGTGTTGATGCCAGGGTTTGTTACTGCCAGTATGTTATGTGATCTGGGAAACAAAAGAGGAACAAAAAAAATTGTTAACACACAGTTTTGTTTGTGTGATACATTGTTTTCACTGTTAACAACAGAGGTGAGAGTGTAAATCTGTTGTAAAAAACAGAATTACTTCCAAAAAAGGTGCTTGGCGTTTCTGTGTATCTGTGAGTTATCACAAAAACAACAATTGGCGAGAGTGTTCCCTTTCTTTTGAACCAAATTGAATGTGTTTTACATCGATTGGTGAGATGTTGATTCTCTCCGATTCCTCAGTTGTGGTGATTTGTCTTTGTTAAATCCTCCATGCAAACAAAATTTCCCTGAAGCAGAGTAAACAGACTCAGCAGGTCATTTAAATGAAACCAGTGCCACCAGTGTCCACAGTTTATTCATCTGGGTGACAGCTCTCAAAAGTTTAGTCAATCCCATAAAGATAAAAAGACTTACTGTAAGGACACCCATAGGTCTCCAGCCGCAGTCCAATCCTTCCACTAGGGTTCCAGTCCAGAGGAATGAGGCGGAGGAAGCGAGCGATTGCCGGCTGCTGTAGTTTATACTGAACCACGCTGTCTGCATTACTGTTACCTGGAAAAGACTGAAAAAAACAAACACAATGAAGACTTGCTCATTATGTATCTACATTATTACTACATGGAAAACTCCTCAAAACTACCGTACAACCAGCAGGGCCTTCAACTCAACAAATGACACTGAGGAAAGGACAGAATCTCATTTAAAGACGACGTGAATTCTTCAACAGCAGCCTTTGATGAGCAGAGTGAGTGGAAAAAGACATGATGAGAGAGATTAACTGTGAATAGAAAACAGGAATGCAGAGACGTAGAAGAAAAGGAAAGGAGGAGATACAGAAAAGAGTATCAAAGGGAAATGACAGAGGGACGAAATGAAAGGCAAGGAAAATCACATGGTGAGAGGGAGATAAGCAGTAACGTCAGAAAATGAGAAGAGGAAATAAAAGGGAGAGAGGAAATTTGAGAAGAACAGGGAGAGAGTAAAAAAAATCACCACTTGCGTCCGCATCCCCAGCCCTCCAGGCAGAAGGAAACAAACCGATAAAGATGAGAGGGACGATAAAGAAAGATGGATTGCTATATTTTCAAGCACCCACAGGCTTTGGGAAAAAGAAAAAAGAGGACCGAGACAAAGAGGAAAGGAGAAAGCAGAATATTTCTTCCTTGCTCTTCAGGCCTCTACGCTAAGAGCAGGAGCCCAGTAGACGTCGATCCAGCAGCTCTGCCATCAACTTTCTCCTCCGACAAACTCTGTAAGCTCGACTGACTAATGCAGAGAAGTTGGGAAACACTTTGAAATGTGATTGGATTGTGCTCAGTTTATGTTAAGTGTCAGATCAACATGCTTTTAAGCCGCAAGGAGTCGTTTTCTGCTCTCTCAGAGAAGATCCTCAATGCTGAGATTAGCTGGATTACCTCCATGTGAGGAAACTGCCTCGGCTCTACTTTTAATCAAAAACTCCTCTCTGCACCGCTGTAACAAATGTGGCTTTACCCTGGATAAATATCCGAGCAAATAGTTGGAAAATATTACACTTTCTCCATGTTTATTGCACTATTTGATGTGGTAGAAGGCTCACAGGGAGCATGCAGGTAAGAAATGTAAAAATATTTTTAAACTGGCTCTGTGTGCTGACAGGATTCATCACTGTGTTTAATTTCTACTCAAAACTACTTAGTATTCTTGTGGCTGTATACTGAACCATGTACCATCACCAACTCGACACTTGTGCAACGGAAAATCACTGAAGAAGAGTTGCGTGTGTGTACCAGAAGGTGGGAGGTGATGCCTCGCTGCCTTTGCTGTCCATCTGACTGATTTCTTCATTAATCAGCTCTACAGAGACCAGCTGAGCTTTCTCACTTTCATGGCTATGTTGTGTCACGTTGCTGCCACGTTGTTTCTCATGATCAGCAATGGAAAAATACTAAAATAATCTGCTAATATTGAAACACAATTAGTAAATATAATACCCACTGCTTTTACTGTAGAAGTAAGGACAGTGGTGTGACAATTTGCATCCATGTCTGTCCAGACTCACATGTAGCCATGACAGTAGACAATGCTTCAAATATGAATGTTGCTGCAAAGAAGCTACACATTCTAAACATAGTTGCTTCAAACATATTTTCAACCTTCGACATGAATTCTTGACTTTCGGACAAAAATGTTTTGTGAGGTCACACTGACCTTGACCTTTGACCTTTGACCACCAAAATTGAATGACTTCATTGTTGAGTCCAGGTGGACATTTGTGCCAAATTTAGAGAAACTACTTCAAGGTGTTCCTGAGATATTGCATCAACAAGGATGAGAGAGACGAGGTCACATTGACCTTGACCTTTCATCTATGACCACCAAAGTCTAATCTTAGCACTGTTAAGCCCAAGGTAACGGTTGTGCTGAATTTGAGAAAAAAAAAAATCCCTATAGGCATTCTTGAGATATTGCATTCACAAGGTTGTAAGGGATGGACTAACCAATCTGGTCTCACTACAAAGCTGTCGAAATCTGGCACTTGGGCAATGACCTGTGGCATCAGACATTGACAACAAAGCTATTTTTTAACCTTACTGTTATAATTATTGGTGCTCAGCAACATCAGGTGGAAACACAGCGGCACACAATTGAAAGTTAAGACAACGAAAGTCTGAGTAGGGCTGGTGGGAGGGGCGGTGGATGAGTCCAACTAACACTGACCTTCACCCAGGAGAGTGGTCACATCCTGTAAGATTATAAAGCCAAACCCTGTTCTTTTTTCCTAAACCCAACCATTTGCTTTTGTTTTTGGAGTTCTTTTGACAGAGACTGTAGAAATGTTAAATTTCCGTAAAGAAGACAATGCATGAATGAATGCAGAACTTGACACAGCGTCCTAGAAAGTCAACATCCAACGCACCCAGGGTATCTTCCATGTTGTATCTGGACGTGGAAAGTCCATGACTAAACGCTGATATGTGACGAGCAGAGTTGGGTATAAGTACTTTGATTACTTTTTGCAGTAACGAGTAACCTAATGTGTTAGTTTGCTGTTTGAGTAATCAAATACTTGAGTACATTTTCAAACAAGCCATCAGTTACTTCCGTTACTTTTAGAATGCTGGTCCTTCAGCTCCGAAACAGCAACGGCTGTCTTTTGGTTCTAATAACCAATCTGAAAGAAGCCACGGAGCTTGTGGCTTGCTACGTGGTAGAAGAAATGCTGCCGTTGTCTACGTTGGAGTCTAAAAAAAGGTGGAGTAGGACTTGCTGACAGACAGGTCAGACTCAGGAGGACTTGCATTATGCCTGGTACACACTACACGACTTTTCTACCTGTTCTGAAAGTCACTATGTCACATTACACGATTGTGGAGTCATAAAATTGTGCCGTGAGTTGGCCGACAGACATGACACACTACACAGTGGTACTCACCAATTATCCCTGGTTGTCTTTCACGGCGTGTGTGATGTCGTCTGGTTATTCTTGTCCTATTTTTATTGCTTTTACTATTATTTGAGTCACTGTGTCTGTTCATGTGCCAGCCGAAATGTTGTTGTAGTCACGTAAAAGCGTCAGCAGATGGCAGGTGCTACATTTGAAGTACCGTATGTAAACATTCAAGCTACTGTATCCTCCACAGGAAGTTCTGACAAATGTTTCACAATAAAAGCCTATTTAGAAAATGGAGGGATTCTCTCAGCCGAGGTTATAAGGGGCTTTTAATTTGAAAGAAATTCAGGAAGTGTTGACTTTGACATGAAGGCGATTTGTTAACTTTATAAAGACAACGGGAGCGGATACAAAGTAAGAATATAAAAACACAGAGGGATTAATAAATAACGGACCGTCTATAATGCAGTTTGTTTCAAATGAAGCTGGGAGCCTCTGCAGTTGTGGTGAGTAAAAGCCCTGCCGCTATTTGTTAATGTTATTATTTTATGTCCGTCTCCATTATGAGGACGTAACATTGTTTGCTAGCTTGATGCTAGTGACAGTAACGTTAACTCAACGGGTTGACAAAGTGCCTCTGCTGTTTCACACCATCATTTCCCCCTTTTACTCTGTGTGGTAACATCCCTAGAGGAAATATTAAAAATACTGGGGTGTTGTTGTCATACAGTTGTCTACGGCAGCAGATCATTCTGTGTTTCTACTGGTCAAAGTGAGGGCTGTGATGGGAGAATTGGATCTCAATAAAGGGCAAGTGGTCCGTAACAAGACAAAGACAAAAAATGTAGGTTAAGCACCCTGTGGTCCATTGCCCAATAGGAAATGTAGAATACTCAAAAGTACTTTAAAAGTACTTGAGTTACTTTACTCAGGGAGTAACACAGTAAAGTAAGTGGTTACTTTAAAAACAAGTAACGCAGTAAAGTACTTTGATTACTTTTAAAGTAACCCTTACCCAACTCTGGTGACGAGGCCAGTGTGAGAATGTGTTGGACTGTGGGAAACCTAAAAACATAATGCCTTCAGCCACGACTGTCACCAGTGTGCAGGCATGTCATGTGTCAGCCTGTAAAGTTCTCAGAGTGGAGCAACATGTGTTTAAGTGTCCTTTCAATAGGTGCGCAAACTCAAGAGCTTTCTTCCTGCAGAGAGCTTGGATGTGTAGATGAGATTGTCCTCTTTAAATAAACTAATTTAATACAAAAAGCACTTATGTGTCTAAGCAGACAGATGATGTGAACACGTGAAAATACAAGTTGTAAACCAGATCTTTAGGCTGCTGTAACATTTATAGGAATTTTAATATACACTGTATATTATTTTCAAAAAATTTCAATACATTTGACATTTCTATAATTCAATTTCATTAAAAGTTTTAAAATAAAGCCTACCAAGGTTCTCAAAAATATAGTTACTGATATTGAAGGTGACACCTGTGGCTGTTACAGCATTTTTTTTTTTCAGCAACTAACCTACCATGTGACCAGAGGCCTGTGTTTAGTGACTTGTATTAGCAATGTTTGTAGTTTTGTAGGATAAACAAATACATTTTGTGTACCTAGGACTTGTTTTTCTCTTTTGTCATGGTATCAAAAGAGGTATCAAGTATCACTATCTTATACCAGTATTGTATCAAAGTTTTAAATTTTGGTATTGTGACAACCTTACAGCTTATTTACAGTGTATGTATGTGTATGAGTGATGTTTTTTTAAATAGTATTTCTTATAAAATAACTTAATAATCATGAGTAGAGTTGCCCATGAAAAGTATTGGTACCACCCTCCAGGTAGAGAATGATGAGCTGCTGTCTAAAACACAATCTGTCATTTTTTATTCAGTCCTGTTCTTTAACATCTTTTAAACATTTGTACCTACAGTAGCTGTGATGGATGAAATCAACATGTTTACTCCCTCTTTTAAAGAGTCAAAGACAGTGGGAGAGAGAGAGAGAGAGAGAGAAATGACACTGAGAAGCGGACAAAAATATATAAATAAAACAATATCGGGCCACTTGACTGCCTCCGTGTTCGTGATCAGCAGCTAAAGTGTTTTCTCAACAGGTCTGCAGAGTCAGCGGAGCTTCAGCGCTGCTTCATGCATTATAAATGAAGAGATAAACTCATGATGACTCAGTTTATCTGTACAGGATAGATGGAGCCTCATACAGCGGCACTGCTTCACACTACATCACTTCATGTGAATTACACAAAACAAAATATGATGATGTTTATGGATCCTTGAGGAGAAATAGAGTCAGTGCAGGACTAAAAGGAACTAAAGCCGTAAAAATGAGGTCACTTACATGAAGGGATGTAAATAACATGCATATGCAATGTGTTGTAGTCTTAAATCCAGCATGGACTCACCCCTATGCTGTCCTCCTGTCTGTACTGTTTCCAGTTGTGCCCCGTGTCGCTAAACATGAGCAGGTACGACGTCAGCCAATCAGAGCTGCCGTAGCGGCCCTGAGTAGCAACAGCGGTGATCTTGGTCCGCTCGCCCAAGCTGACCTCCAGCCACTGATACCTGTCTGAGGTGAGAGGAGACCAACCTCCAGCTCCTGCAGGGAGAGAAGGAGACAAACCGGCATACATAAGTGATTTATTAAACTTCCATTTACCTGGGAGGAGATGAAATAAGCTTTGGTAGATGCTGAAAAAATGAATTGCATTGCGTGACCTTTCATTCTGAACTAAAATCACATTTTCCTGTTATGAAAGCCGAATGAAGAAAGCTGATTGAACCGCGGCGAAAACCTTTAAATCCATTTTGAAGCTATGATGGGATATAAATCACACTTTAAAAACTTTCCTGATGAATTTAAATCACTCACATTTGCTGTGTGACCCACGGTGGCATCAGGAATGTGTTTCTTTTCATATCTATCTGAGAAACACACGCATATTATTATCCTTTCATATGCAAAATGAATCAGCATTTGATATTCAGCTTGTCAAAGCAGCAGAGCTCCAAAAACGTTCAATCATTTCTGCCCCCAAAATCTGTTAATATTTTCAATATTCTGACACAAAAAAGGACTTAAGCATTCTTGTGGTTAAAAGGACTGCATGTATCCAAACTAAAAAGCTTTTTTACCATGTAAAGACGTTATTAAAGTCCAACCTATTCACAGCCAATGTAGACATTGTATACTATTAATATATGGACAGGGGACAAATTGAAAGAAACCTGAATGAATAACTTGTTGAAAACCATAGCACACACAAATGTTTCCATACAGGGAAATGAATTATTTGATGAAAATGAAAATTATATGAATTAATGATGTGTCACACAGCCTTCTCCACCACCATCATCAAAACACCAACCCTCAGGTGTATTCCAGGTCTCTGTGTTGGCCTGAAAGTGGCGTCAGCTCATTACAAATGAAGCAAAATAAAGAAAGTAGCAACAAGAAGCTGATATTGTTTCCCATGAACAATAATGTGGTGCCAAGCATTGATTGTTTGTATCCTTCCTCGTATTAAATGTCATCAATTTAGGGGGTGTGTTGTAATGTATTGATTGGTTGTGCTCTAGGTCATCAGTTTGAAATGCTTTCCCACAGAAAAAAAACAACAAGATGATTGATTAGAGTTGAATTACTGAAGAAATGGGCACGTGTTCAGTGACCTGTCTCATGCAAAACAGCAACAACAAGGGACTTTGATACAATATATTTAGTAACACTGGATTAAAGCCACTTATTGATGGATTCTATACAATGCAGAAATGTACAGCATGCTGTATTTCTTCCATTTCCATGCACAATGTCCTAATTGCATGTCTAAATGTAGGGGGTAGTTGACAGAAGTCTGCCTGGACAGATAAACTGTATTTGATCGTATGGGCTGCTGCACAATAAAGACATTTCAAACACTGAAAAAGTAAGCAGTTTCTGTGTGTGTGTGTGTGTGTGTGTGTGTGCGCGTGTGCGCGCACATAGGAAAATACTTTGCTGGGCCAAAACGAAGACTCAGAGCTTAAACACCATATGGGCAGATTCTGAAGGAGGAGGCTGCTGACAGCGTCCCGCTGTGCACACACACACAAACACACATTGATGCAAAGCGAGTGTAGAAAAGCTTTAAAAAACACAAACACACTGAAAGCCATCTTAAATGCTTCTTGACTTTGAGAAAGACATTTCGGTTGTTTTCCCTCTGACAGCAGCAAGCGAATATTGTGTTCGAGCTGGAAGTTACAAGCACAAACTGTTACGTGTGAACATGGTCTTGGTAAGAGACAAAATAGATCTATATCTGCAGCTGAATCTCCAAAAACAAAAAGCCTATTTTGCAGTGCAATAACAAAATGAAGATGAAGAAGAGGGTATGTACTTTACAGCAGGATCAGACAACATAACAGTTTTTCACATGGTCAATTTGTCAGATTAGTGGATCATGTTGCCTTAAATTCCAGCTGTGATTTGGCTGAGAGACACGTTAGACTCCAAGTTGAACGCTGGCCAATCATCCTGTAACCTTCAGTTAATGACTCCTTCAAATCTGGCAGGAGGTCAACAACCATGGCGTCTGGAGCATCACAGAGAATGTTGCAAAAGTAGACTGATGTTTTCTACTAAGACACACTACAATAAATAAAATGACAAATTAATGTGCCCCCTGCTAATTTTTGTTCCTAATACGCCATGGCTGTCAGACTGGGGCTTTATCAGGCTGCTGATATTCAGTCTGTGTTGATTTTATCAAGTGTTTCAACAGAACTGCTGTTATAGTCTAATTCCTCTTCCTGTTAGTTGTGTGGCCATTCTTTGATTTGTTTCTACAGGAGTGCAACGTTCTGAAGGTTATTGTCATACTGAACGCATTTCAGTCTGCCTGACCCTTTGGTCCAGAGCCAAAAAATACTCACGAGAATCAAGTGGCATGCACAAGTTTGGGCACCCCTGGTCAACATTTTGTTTTCTGTGAGTAGTTACGTATGTAGAAGATGAAGTGATCTCAGTAAGGCAAGAGGTTAAGGATGAGATGAGGTTAGTTTTTAATTTCAATCTTTTACAGTTTCAAAAACACAAAAAAGGAAAACAGCCTTAAGTAAAAGTTTGGGCACTCTGTATGGTCAATGCTTAGTAGCGCCCCCTTTGGTCAGTACTGCAGCTTCTAAATGCTTTTGGTAACCAGCTAAAAGTCTTTCAGTTCTTGTCTGGGGATTTTCACCCTTTCTTCCTTCAAAAGGATTTTAGTTCTGTGAAATTCTTGGGCCGTCTTGCATGCACTGCTCTTTTGAGGTTTATCCACAGATTTTTAATGATGTTTAGGTCGGGGAACCGTGAGGGCCAAGGCAAAACCTTCAGCATGTGCCTTTTGAAGAAGTCCATTGTGGATTTCGAGGTGTGTTTAGGATGACTGTCCTGTTGTAGAAGCCACCCTCTCTTCATCTTCAGCTTTCTTTACAGATGGTGTGATCTTCCTGAATTTGCTGGAATAAACTGAATCCTTTCTTTCCTCTACCTGTGAAATGTTCCCCGTGCCACTGGTTGCAACACAAGCCAAAAGCATGATCCATCCACCTCCATCTTTAACAGTTGGACAGGTGTTCTTTTTAAATCTTCACCATTTTTCTCCAAACATACCTTTGCTCACTGTGTCCAAAAAGTTCTATGTTAACTTCATCAGTCCACAGTACAGGACTTGTTTCCAAAATGCATCAGGCTTGTTTAGATGTTCCTTCGAAACTTCTGATGCTGAATTTTGTGGTGAGGACACAGGAAAGGTTTTCCTCTGGTGACTCTTCCATGAAGGTCATATTTGTACAGGTGTTGCTGCACAGTAGAACAGTGCGCCACCACTCCAGAGTCTGATAAATCTTCCTGCAGGTCTTTTGCAGTCAAACGGGGGTTTTGATTTGTCTTCCTACCAAAATCGGAACGTTTTCTTGGTCATCCAGACTTCAACTTGACCTCCACAGTTCCTGTTAACTGCCACTTCTCAATAACACTATGCACTGAGGATACAGCTACCTGAAAACACTTTGCTATCTACTTATAGCATTCTCCAGCTTTATGGGCATCAGTAATTTTAGTGTTCAGAGTGCAGGCAGCTGTATTTTGTAAAGCTTCGAAATCTGCATCATCTGGCTTTCCCTAATGATGATTGTGAACAAGCCATAGCCCTAACAAGCTAATTAAAGGGAAATTTCAGTTTATTTCAACCTGTCTCCTATCATCCTAAATTTGTTTCAAGTGACTAGTGACATAAAAATAGTAGTTAGCATGTTAGCCGTTAGCCTAGATACAGCCGGGGCGCATAGTATCGTCAGACCTGTTAAAACGTAAGTGAACGGGCATACTTCAAGTGCAAAGTTAGTCCACTAAACAAGCTTTTTTTTCCACAAAGACCGCCTCATATCGTTAGGATAAATGTCAGAGAACATATAGAAAACGACGATGTAAACGTGTTGTCTTACCTTACTGGTGTGCTGCCATGTTTGTTTACCATTTAGCTCTGCTTTCCAAAGCGCGGCCGAAATATATCTCGCGAGCTCTAGATAAAGCCCAGCTGGAGGTGGAGGCATCTTGTCCTCGGTCACATCCAGACCGTGAAAATAAGGCTGCAACCGGTCCCATTCATTGCAACAGAGGCATTCCTCTTCTGTGGGCACTGGGGCACAGCATTCACAGGTACACCACCAATCTCCAGAGCTACGCAGCCTTGCAGCAGCCATTCCTCCTCTCTCGTCCTCTACCTGTTGCACCTCTCTCTCTCTCCTCCTCCGTTCTTCAATTTCACAAAGCTCTTCGTTAGTGTATTCTGGTTCAAATAAATAAGGGCGGCCATCAAACTCTGTAAAATCAAATTCCTCCTCCACAAAGTCGAAGTCTGGCAAAAAGTCAGCCATTATTCTATAAATCTTTCATAAAATAAATGAATGAACTTTTCAGGCTACTGTCCGGTTCTGCCTTCCGGCTGTTGCTGCTTGTTCTCGCGAGATTTCAGGCACGATATGAGATCGCTGCTTGTTCTCGCTTTGGAAAGCAGAGCTAAATGGTAAACAAACATGGCAGCACACCAGTAAGGTAAGACAACACGTTTACATGTTGTTTTCTATATGTTCTCTGACATTTATCCTAACAATATGAGGCGGTCTTTGTGGAAAAAAAGCTTGTTTAGTGGACTAACTTTGCACTTGAAGGGATGCCCGTTCACTTACGTTTTAACAGGTCTGACGCTACTATGCGCCCCGGCTGTATCTAGGCTAACGGCTAACATGCTAACTATTATTTTTATGTCACTAGTCACTTGAAACAAATTTAGGACGATAGGAGACAGGTTGAAATAAACTGAAATTTCCCTTTAAGGTCTGAGACCCTGTTAAAAGTTGTCTGAGAGCTCAAATGTCTTGGGGTGCACAAACTTTTGCATGGTGCTTCCTAATGTTTTTGGTCATCTTTAGTGCCACCATCAAGCCAAATTTCCTACTTGTACAGACATGTGACGGGTAAAGATTTAATGTCATTCTGACATTAAAATTTACTGGCTGCTTGTACAAAAAATACTGAAAGGTTTTATCTCTTAATATAAAAAAATATAAAACTAT